CTGGTTCTGGGCTCCTCGGACTCCTCTGCAGGTTTCTGGGTTCCTGGTTCTGGGCTCCTCAGGCTCCCCTGTTGCATTGTGGTCTAAAGGAAGCTGCTGCTGCTGCTCCGGAATCTGAAGAATCTCTCCGCTGACTCTCCGCCTCCAAACCTTCTCCTCCGTCGGCAGCTCGTCCTTCCTCTCCCCGGACCTCCATCTTATTTCCTCCATCTTCTCTCTCGCTGTAAGTTAACCTGATTCTGCTCTGAGCTTCATGTTTTATTTATTATTCATTAACAGGAGAAGCTAACGGTTAGCTGCTAGTTAACATCCTGCATCCGAAGCTAAGCGGCTAACTGCTAACCCTGAGCTGCTGGATAATCAGCTAATGTGCTCTGTTAGTTTAATAAACATGTTTATTTTTCTGTTCCGGTCACTTTTGTTAATTATAATAATAGATAATTAGCCGGCTTTTATTAGCCAGCTAATTACAGGGCTAATTAGTTTATTAGCTTGCTAAAGATGCTCCTTCTAGATTGAATTAGCTAAACTAAAACTAGCTCAACACCTCAAATAAAAACCACAATTAAACAAAACAGATATAAACTTTTAAATGTAATTATTTCTTCCAGTTAAACGTAGATTTAATGCTTTTAATCTTTAATGTGGGTGTGTTCACATCCTTGTTGTTCTTAGTAAAGTACACTAGATGACAGTAATCTGATACAAACCTAATGAAGCAAATTACAGGGATGGCTGGATTAATTAAAGCGGCAGATTTTAGTCTTTAGAGATTAAAGTCGGTGTGTGTGAAGAGGAGGCAGCTGCAATGAAGGGAAACAGGTTTTTTTCTTTCTCAGAAGCCATTCTGAGTAGACTTCCTGTCTCTCTGCCCTCATTGAAGCCTCTGTGTGAAAATATGGCAGGAAATCAATCTGGGGGGGATGGGTGTAGGGGGGGGGGACTTTATGTTTTAGGGTTTTTTCCTCCTTGAACATCTCCTAAACTGCTCCTCTGCTTTTTTCAGGTCGATCAACGAGAAAAGAAAATGTCTCAGGCGGATAAAATGAAGGTGAGCCGTAGAAATATTTCAATGAGCTCATCAGCTGCAGGGCTTTGCCAAGATTCCTGCTTCTCTCCAGAATTCCCTGCTTCTCCCCAGAATTCCCTGCTTCCGATCGCTTCACTTGATCAAACCTGGTATAGATGTTCCTTGAGTATGGAGTAGATGTTTTTCCATTATTGCTAAATGTTTAATAACTGAAAATTAAAAAGAAAATCCCTCTTCACCAATAGAAATGTTGTTGCTAACGTCCAGCCGACCAATAGAAATGTCTTCACTCCTCCTATCTAGAGTAAAGCCCGCCCCCAGAAGTAAACAGAATGTGATCTGTGACATATATAAAACGATAAATCTATCTTATCCCGGTTCATCCGTACGGCTGGATTCTTCCCAGCAGTCTGAGCGGGAATAAGAATCCATGTTTAATGGAGCTTAATCTGACGGAACCACTTTGGCCTCTGCTGTAAAAGGTTCAACTGAAGTCCTTCTCTCATAAAGTTTTCTCGAATTTTCTAACAGCTTTTTTGTTTTCAAACCTTGGTGATGGTGAACGTAGCTCTCACTTCCACCCTGCAGTTTCTGTCAGCTCTGAGGTTTGATAAAGAGGCTGGACATGCGGTGCAGGAAGGGAAACGGCTTCAACTTTTTTGTGTTTTCGATGGTTCAGTCTGAACTGATGGAGACGTGTTTGGCGACGGTTTCAGTCGACGGTCTTCTGAAAAACCATTGCTTATCCGTGAGCTGTCATGCAGCCACCAGCCGTTGATCTGTCAGCTTAGCATACGGTGTCAGGCCAACATACCCTCAGTAATACGCGTTACATAGAGTCTGCTCTGCCTCCGCACTCCTTACGGCCGATCATGCTGTTTTATTTTCCAATTTAATCATGTTTTTGTCGCAGTTTTGTGCATTAAAAAAACAAAAAACTCCTCCACTAGGTCCACTGAACACATTAGCTTTAAAACAAACATTGCATTTCTGTTTGACGGGGATCTTATTAAAGAATGATCTGCACTTTTTTCACAGAGATTTAAATATTCATAGGAAGAGGATTCTACAACCCAATTGACATGAGATTTGTTTTTAGTTTCTTTGATATGAGCAAGATGCAGATCATTTTATTTTCACAGCACATGATGTACTACGATATTGGGATTTTGGCCGATATCCGATATGCCGATATTTTAAAACTCATGTAGCCGATAACCGATATCGATACCGATGTTAAAGC